GTCTCTTCCATGTCATCATCCAACCAGCAGTCCACCTAACATTAGTTCAGACCATAACTGCCTAGTTGTTTATAAGAATGTCATAAAATCATAATTCTTACTGAAAGTTGTACTTAATGTATTACTTTCTCATGATCTACTTAAAAAATTAAATCAGTCTGCCAAGATTTGGTAGTCCTAAAACCATTCCGGTTGCTTAGTAGTATTTTTTAAGCAGGCAACAAGTTGGAACATTGGACATGCCCTGGCATCGATATTAAGTCTAATTACCAAGGTCATATTTTTGTTTTAAATAAAAAATGAATACAACATTGCCCTGTCTTAATCATCAGAGAATTTTCTAGACTCCTAAGCTACAATCTTGACACTTTGAAAAATCACAAAAATATGCAGCACCCCCAATATTTCTGAATATCAATATACCTTCTAGACAACATTTAAACTTTTTTTTTAAAGATAGTATTTATTTATTTGACAGACATCGATCACAAGTAGGCAGAGAGGCAGGCAGAGAGAAAGGAGGAAGCAGGCTCCCTGCTGAGCAGAGAGCCAGATGTGGGGTTTAATCCCAGGACCCTGGGATCATGACCTGAGCTGAAGGTAGAGGCTTTAACCCACTGAGCCACACAGGTGCCCCTAGACAAAATTTATTTAAAAAGAAAAGTTCAACCTTAAGTATTTAATGAAAAAGGATTTTAAGATACTTGAGTTAATAACACAAGATCCAGTGAATTCAAATTAGAATCAAGTAACATTTACCTCACTTAAAAATGAAGGTTTATTCTTAGTTATTTAAGAGATTTTAAGTCTGTATATTATTTAGATTTTTTCTTCTATTTGTTAAATATTAAAGACAGCCTTTTGGCTGTTATTATATCTTAGTAGATTCATCAGATTAATCAAATAGTGACTAATAGGGAAGAGATGAAAACTAGAGTCAAGCCTGTGTTATTCAAAAATACTCAGCTGCTGGGTACCAGAGGGGAGGGGGTGGGGGATAGGTGAAATACGCGATGGGAATGATGGAGTGCACTTGTGATGAGCACCAGGTGAAGCACAGAATTACTGAATCACTATATTGTACACCTGAAACTAAGATAACACTGTATATTAACTATACTGGAATCTATAAAGATGAAAAAAATATACAGTCAAAATTTAAATTACTCAGTTATAAATAATTTCATAATTAAAACATTATATCGAGCATATTTCTACTCTTAATAACCTGAAAAATATGCATAAGTAAATAGAAAACAGTTTATATCACTAGCTAGTTCCATAAAAGAATATGGTTAAAAATTTCAGACATAGTCATAACAGGTCAATTCACATTTTAATGATGAACTTAAAATTATTTTTATCCTTACTTATCTCTTTTTGTGACCAACTCCCATCTATATGAAGGATCACTCATGCCTGGTCTTTAATTAGGAACAATGTTCAAGTAAGACAGTTATGCCAGAAGTACACGACAATATGGAGAAATGTAAACACCCTGAAAACTGAAGAAATCTGAGCTATACAGAGCAGGTACTAAAAAGCACACTAGGACCCTGGGCACTGGCAAGGCTACCACCGTGAAGGTCTAAAATTTCCTAAAATATAGGCAACACATAAGAGAGAGGGAGGTCAGCACAGGTAGAAAGTTCTTCCCAAACTCCGGCTCCAGACCCCAAAGCACTTTAAGTAAAAGATTACTTAACAACTCCTTGATAAAAGAGATTTCTTCCAAATGAATTTTATACTCAAAGATGTCAGAAGACCTAGGACAGCTAGCATGCACAGGCTGCCGTGTACAGTAACAGGCACTCCAATTTCCCATTCTGCTCCTCCTACAGAAAGCATGGCCTCTCTGCTCTGCTCCATGGATGATAACCACAGTGCACATGTAGATCATAAGATCAAGCATGGATTCCTAGGCATAATTTTGAAGCAAAACATGAAAGAAATAATTTTTATCTCTTTATCAATATTCTCTATTTGAAGAGTCACTGCCATTATACATGCCTTTAATTAATTAAACAGGATCTCTAGTTCTTTGAACACAGTTGCTAAATACAATATCCAAGCCTTCTCAAAGACAGTTTATAATAATTCATTCTTCAGTTGTATGGGTTAGATATTCCTATTTCTTGTGTGTCTCACAATTTTTTATTGAAAACAATATTTTAGATAAAAACTGCAACGACTCTGGATTTTGACCTTACCAGGGTTTTGTTTTTGATTATTCGTTTAGTATCCTGCCTGGACTAATGCCTGAAGTCTGTTTCCCTTGCCCTGTATGTCTCTTGTTCCTTTTCTTTTTTAAAAAAATGATTGTTTCTACTTTTAAGCTTGTACTCTTAGGGGCTGCCCCTGGGTTAGCATAGGTTGGTGACTAGCAACTGATTGGTCAGAAAGGCTTGTTCCATCTTTTGCCAATGGATCTATGTGTGACTTGGAATATAGATTCAAAGTTTATCCAGTTTGCAAGCCTGCGGATATTACTTTCTGCCTTCACAAGGCCTCACATTCAGCCATGGACTAGTGGCTCCCTAAGGGCCTCTCCAGTTTCTCCTGGACTTATTTACACCCTTACACATAAACATAATGTTCCAGACTACTAGAGTAAGTACAACTTTGTCAAGACCAACTCTGGTTACCTGGTCCCTGGATCTTTATCTGTACCAACAAGTAGTTAGATCTCAGCCTTCCTTACTGCTTGCCAGTGGGATCATCGTTGTTTCTATTAATCTCCGTGCACATGGGATTTCCCATGCTCTGCTCCATAGAGCCCGTCTCCTCTGGCAGCCACACTGCAGCTCTCTCAGCAGGACTGCCCCAAGAAGCTGGGAACCAGGAGTTCTGGGCAAAGTGCCCCAGATTCCTACTGCCCTTACTGATGTTCGGTAGATTTTCTTGATAAGTGCTTCTTAATTTGTTATATGCCTTTCAATTTTTAGAGTCTTAAAATTATTGTTTCTGACACTTCTGTCTAGTTGTTGCTTTGGGGAAGAGGATTTGTTGAGCTCCTCACTCAGCCATTCCAGGGGTCCATGCAGACTTCCTTCCTCAGGACCTCTGTGTTAATTTGTGTCTGCAGAGGGGTGATATTAAGCCAAGACCCCAAATCACCTCTTGTTGTCTGCAGATGGAAGCCTTAAGGCAAGCCAATGGGTGATGACTTCGAGTGCACGTTCTCTCATCTTTGAGATGGAAAGTAGAATGAGAGTGATTCCTTGGCTGAATATTTAATATGTTTTAGGGATAAAACTAAAATAATATCGTGATCATTTCAATAGTTTCTGGAGCTAATATAAAATATATTCTTATAAAAGAGGTCTTGAAGTTCTGACCACTCGGTTCTATCAGTCTAAATGTATATATAAGGGGCGCCTGGGTGGCTCAGTGGGTTAAGGCTCTGCCTTCGGCTCAGGTCATGATCCCAGGGTCCTGGGATCGAGTCCCACATCGGGTTCTCGGCTCAGTGGGGAACCTGCTTCCTCTTCTCTCTCTCTGTCTGCCTCTCTGCCTACTTGTGATCTCTCTCTCTGTCAAATAAATAAATAAAAAATCTTAAAAAAATGTGTATATAAGATAACTGGCAAGGAATATAATGAATCTCAAAAAAATGTGTAAGCAGAACTTTTTTGATACTCTGCTTAACTCTTACCTGAGGGGTACCAAAACAGTCTCAGGTAATCAAAAGCTTAGCCAGTAATATTGCTTGGTGAACTGGAAAAAGAACCAATACTGAGGTTTACAGCAAACTTTAAATACAGACCAGTGCTTTTCAAAATGTGGTCCTTACACTAGCTGCATTAGGAGCATCCATGATATTTCTTAAAATGCAGCTTTCTAGGTCTCAGCCCTCTGTGTAAAGATTTAGAATCTAAGGGAGTAGAAAGGAGAACTCTATATTTTTAATGCAACCCAGGTAATTATTATTCATACGAAAGTATGAAAATCAGTCACTTTCCTTTACCAACCCTATCCATTCTTACCCAAATTAGAATCAATTATATAGATTAAGAACTAAAATTGAGAGGCTAATCCATATAGTAGCAATCTGGAGACTAGAGCTTTAAGTAAATAATAGTAATAATAAAAGGTAAAAAGTCTTCTCCCTTGAGGTGTGAACTTTCTTGGATCTCCTTTTTCCTGTTTGGATTGTTTCTTCATACTCGCCTGTAATATGCTACTCCCTTGATGGGAGGCCCAGGTTGCCTGTTGGTTGGGAAGCATTAGCTTTGGGAAAGGAGTTCACATTTATACTCTGTGTAAGGGGCAAGAGAAGTCCTTACATGTTCACAGAATATCTAGCCTAACTTATCAGGGTAAAGATCAGAAACTTCAGTCCAAAACTCAAGTTAGCAATAAGACATATTCCATTATCTGGAGCTTTTTTTTCCCTTATACTTGTTTTTCAGGAAACTCAGAAGGTGGAAGCCATGTGGTAATCTGTGGTATAACACCAAAGGATGCAGAGAACCTTCAGTTACTTAAACTCACAATTTACACTCAGCTTTTAATATCACATTCTGTGGCAACTGACACAGAGCTTTTAAAAATCTTCATGACATTTGCTAGCAAAATCTTGCAAAAATTTTGTTATTACTAACATTTCTGAAATGTTAGGCTAGAAGAACAGTTTTTCTTGTGTTATTAAAAACAAGCTCACTCATGGTCCAAAATTATGGCAACTGTTGTTTGAATGAGAATAAATATACCTGAAAATAAGCTCTGGATATGTGGGTTTGCAGGACAGTCAGATACCCTAAAAATCTTAAGTAAAATGGACAGTATCACCCTTAATTGACTATATTTGTTTTCACTGAAAAGTTGCAGTAATGAAATCATTAAAGTATTTTAATAGGATTTTATATAGTTAAAAATAAAACTTACTAATAATTATCAATTTGAGTCTAAATTTCCCACAAATCCAGGCAGATTAAAAAGGTTATATTTATGCCAACTGTGAGAAAGATCTCAATACACTGCATTAATCCAGCTCATACCTATACTCTGGGTCACTGTCATAGGCAGAGTCTCTGTATAAAAGACCTCTTTTCAGTTCCAGTTCATCTTCTTTCTCTGGATCTCTCTCATCCTGAAAAGTTTATAAAGATTTCCATTAATTCATTTTATAATTAAAATGATGCCTCTGTTTCTTTGGGAAATGTTCTCCCTCTTCCCCATTATAAGGAATGAATTAAATGCTTGGATTTCTTAGGAAAGAGAAAAAGAGTAGGTGAGAATTCATGATTCATGATTCTGCTCAATAAAATATAGTTTTTTTATATTTTGCTAATAAGGCTTATCAAAGACTAGATACCTGGTAGATGTTTTCCTGCATCAATAAATGAACAAGAATTGATACTGTGTCAAGATATGTAGTAAGATATATAGTAATATCTTACACATTGTTATGTGACTCCTGAAAGATTGTTCCTGCACTCTGAGGAATAAGTACCTGGAAAACTTATGCAAATGTAAGCATTCAAACATGTACCTATTATTCATAAGCCAAAACGCAACAATAAGCCACAAGAAGCAAAAATGAAGGGCAAGGTAGTTGGTATCAAAATCCATAGCTATAGAATTCTAAAGAAATAGATTGTAAACTATATCATCCACTGCAACTATGTTCTTATGTATGGTAATTCCATATAATTTAGTATCAAATATCTTTCACGACAATTAGCCAATATCCTTGTTGTCCCTTAGTCAGATAGGAACAGACATAAAGACAACTGGATAACAAGCCAGTAAGCACAAATCAATTGTTATAAAGATTAGTATTAATAAGGGAGTCATTTACTTTATGTGAGAAATCAGCTGAATAAAGATAATGAAGAAAAATGTTTCTAAAAAATTTGCTGATGGTATGAAATTTGGAAGAGAGCATTCAATTAAAAAAATGGAAGCAATGGAGTCAATTATCATATGGTTTAATTTACTTGTGGAGCATAAGAAATAACACAGAGGACATTAGGAGAAGGAGAGGAGAAGGGAGTTGGGGGAAATCGGAGGGGGAGACAAAGCATGAGAGACTGTGGACTCTGAGAAACAAACTGAGGGTTTGGGAGGGGAGAGAGGTAGGGGGTTGGGTGAGCCTGGTGGTGGGTATTAAGGACGGCACGTATTGATTGCATGGAGCCCTGGGTGTTGTGCATAAATGATGTATCTTGGAACACTGAAAAAATAAAATTTAAAAAATGGAAGCAATAAAATCTAGAGCAAGTTTAAAAAAAAATCACAGAAAATGTGAATATATATCTAGAATTGTTATAGCTTCTAGGTGAATGAACCCTTTATAATTATGTAATAACTCCATTTATTTCTATTAATGCTTTTTTCCCCTTAACTTTTTTGATTTATAGTTACTGTAACTAAATAGCTCTCTTAGTGTTTGGATGGCATAAATTTGCCCTTCTATTTTCCATTTTTCCTTATCATTAGGTTTTAGATCTTCTTCTTAAGTATCATATAGCTGGATGTTGGTTATTTTTGTACAGTCTGATGAATCAGTGAAGTAGAGCATTAACATTACAGACAATGTAATTGTCTGTAATGAGTGCAAAAGACACTACAAAATAAAGTATAAGAAATTTTTAAAAATGTAATATGTTTTCAATCTTCAGAAACAGATTATGCTACAAGAAGGAATGAATGAAAGAGATGAAAATAATATTTAATTTTTAATCCTTTCCTTGGAAAAAGCCATTCATTTCTAGATTATATAAGTGGTATTATACATAAGCATAAATCAATATTCCTTGTTTAATTTTGTCAATACAGTTGAAAAAAATAATTTTTGACCAAGAGAAATAAAAAATGTTGACTAAATTTTAAAGTTTATGTATAAAAAAATACAGAAGTACTTTAAAAAAATCTGAACTTTAAGTATTCATTAAATAAAACCCTATTTTGAGTTGGGTACTTACTATCCTATGAGATAAAAAAATGACTAAGATATGGTTCCTGTGGAACCCGTGGAACAAAGCTGTTTATTCTGTGAAGCTCTACAGGTAATAAGGAGCAAGGGCAGAATTATAAGGAGAGCAAAGGAAAAAATAGGGAAGAACATTCTAATTAATGGAGCATTCTAAAATCAGAATGATGGTCTTTAGAGGAAGTAAGATCATAATTCCTGAAATTATTCTTGCAGAGTGTTGATACACATCTAGTTCAAGAAGTTCATGGAAGGGAATTCTGCCCCAGGAAACACAAAGGACCAGGTGATCTTCATGGTTATTCCCTTCAAATTTTAAGACTATATTTTGTGACATTTAATATATTTTCAATACAAATACATCTATCTTGTAAGAGTCCTGGTATAGTCTTTCTTTTAAAGGTCAAATTATATAAAAGTAAAGAGGTAAAAAAAATCACACTTTATTATAAGGTATTAACTATCAGTAGAGCAAGCATCTGAAGAGATATATCATTCTCATTAGTGCCAGGAAATACATCCCTAGGGCAAGGAGAAATGATTCCAGTATTATTCCTTGTCAACATTCCCATTTTCCAACATACAAATACAGAAAAAACGGATGACACCAATATTTGCTGAGTTCCTGTAAGGTATCTAGGACTATGTTAGGTTCTCTTTACATGTGTATCATTTAAGCCTTTCATAACCTTATGAAAAAGGAGGTAGTGAAATCCAAAAAATTAAATAACTTGGCCAAAGTCATACATTATTAAGTGGCAGAACTGAAATTTAAACTTAGATTTAACTTGATTTACATTATGCTGCCTTCTAGAATGCAAATGAAATAAAAATCTCCATCCCAAGCCATTAGATTACTCTCCTATATGAAAATTAGGCTCAAACTTTCAGCTGTATCTATTTTTCAGCCAGTATCTACTTGTTTTTTTGTGAGGGTGTTCCAAAATAATATAGCTCAGAAGAAACTTTCTTAGGATTTCCATGAAGAAACATTTTTCTTCCAGCAAAAGACATTAATAAAGTAAACATTATTAAAAGAAGCTGTGGGCTCTCCTTCCCTAAAATGGCACTAAATTAAATGTTCTTTTAAGATTCCTCTTATCAATGATCACTATGCCTTATACATGTGATTGACATCTTACTTAGACTACCCCTGCTATCTACTCATGCTTGCAAACTGAAAAATTTAGGGACAAAGGTGGTTAGTCTAAAACATAACTAGAACTAAAAGGCAGCAAGCAATCTCACTAATTATATAGTGTTTAAATAAAATATACACCTGTCATTCTCAAAGAAATGAAATTCTCATACATAGTTAAAACACCTGTAAGGTATATTTTATTACTATCAAATTCAATACATTATTTATAGTGAATTGTGTACAAGGACAGGAATTCAAATAGTTCTAATATGCATTATCACCCTGGACAAATCAGTTAGCCTTAATGGCTTTAATTTCCTAATTCATAACATAGAGAAAACTTAGGTAGAACTGCTTAAAGACAAAGGGATAAGAAGTTGAAGGGCTAACTTTGAATTGATTTGAACTGAATTTATTTATTTATTTGAGAGAGAGAGTGTGAGCAGGGAAGGAGAGGAAGAGAGAATCTGAAGCAGACTCCGCACTGAGTATGGAGCCTCTGTGGGCTCTATCTCATGACAGTGAGATCATGACCTGAGCTGAAACCAAGAGTTTGACATGTAACCAACTGAGCCACCCAGGCACCCCAAGGTTTTTCTAATTCTATAACCTGGTTTATAATTGTAATAAAGAATAACAAAGTCTGAAGGGAAGACCAATTAAAGAACACTTAAATGGGAACTTTGACAAATTGCTAGAGGGGGGCTGTGAAAAGGTACGTATGATGGTTAATTATGTATGTCAACTTGGTTCAGCCATGCAGCCTAGATGTTGGTGGGACATTATTCTGGACATTTCCATGAGGTTTTTATGGATGAGATTAACATTTACATGAATGGACTTTGACTTTCATAATGTGGGCGGGCCTCATCCAGTCAGTTGAAAGCCTTAAGGGACCAAAGGCTGACCTCCCATAAGGAAGAAGGAATGCTGCCAGTAGACTGCTTTTGGATTTGAACTACAACTCTTCCCTGAGTATCCAGCCTACCTCACCAGATTTTGGTCTCACCAACATTCCACAATTGCATGAGCCAATTCCTTAAAATTTCCCTCTCTTCATATATGTGTTTATGTATATAAACACACACACATATACACATACACATGTTCTTTTGCTTCTGTTTCCTTGGAGAATCCTGACTCACACAATATGAGAATGAAAAACTCCTACAATATATTAGTTGGAGACTTCAGTACTTTACTTCCAACAATGGATAGAACAATCAAGGCAGAAGATCAACAAGGAAATGGAAGACTTGAACTATACTATGAATCAACTAGATCTACCATCTACAGAACACTCTAGACTAGCAGAATATACATTATTCTCAAGTATATACAACAAATTCTTCAGCAGAGGGGCTCCTGGGTGGCTCAGTGGGTTAAAGCCTCTGCCTTCGGCTCAGGTCATGATCCCAGGGCTCTGGGATTGAGCCCCGCAACAGGCTCTCTGCTCAGCGGGGAGCCTGCATCTCCCTCTCCCCGTGCCTGCCTCTCTGCCTACTTGTGATCTTTGTCTGTCAAATAAACAAATAAAATCTTAAAAAAAAAATTCTTCAGCAGAGACCATACACTAAACCATAAAATGAGTTTCAATAAATTTAAAAGGACTGAAATAATACAAAGTATGTTATCTGGCTACAGTGAAACAAAATTAGTAAATTCTTTATTGAAAATTCTCCTACAAAGATGGGCTTATTTAAAACATTTAAGAAATAAATAATCTTACACAAACTCTTCAGAGGATGATTGGGAGTGTTTTCCAAATCATTTTTTATAATTTAAATTTAATTAACCAAAATATAGTACATCATTATTTTCAGATGTAGAGTTCAATAATTAATCAGTTGTGTATAATGCTCAGTGCTCAAATCATTTTTTAAAGACTTATTTATCTATTTGTGAGAGAGAGTATGAGCAAGCAAATGGCAGGAAGGGCAGCAGTCTTCAAGTAGACTCCTTGCAAGAGGGGAGCTGGACGCGGGGCTTCACCTCATGACCCAAGAGAGCATGA